GCTTCTTAGATATCTCTCACTCCTCCTGACTCAATTCACACTTCACATCCTCATCCTGGCTCTTCCCTGCTTGCTGTGTCTAGTTGGGGCTACTTCCCTTGTTCCTCTTTTACTATTTCAGTGAAGGCACTGAAATATCTTTATTCGCGCATCTTAATTTAGAGTATGAGATGTTTTCCTTACCCTCGTTCTCATTCTCTTTCAGCAAAAGCTGAAATTATCTCCAATTGATCCCAGAGGTTAGTAGCTTAACAGAGTGGCTATTTTCTCCCATAATCCTGAACAATAGGCTGAGAGAAATGGAGATATTCTCCTTAAGAGTCCAGGATCCCTAGTGGGTCATAACTCCATGAAAGATCTTGTTTTTGAGTATTCTAGACATCCACTTTACTATCAGCTTTTTATCTTCCAGCCTTTCATTTGACAAAGGCCCTTCTGCTATATGGCAAGTTCTCAAAACGAAGCTCCTCATCTACTTAAATAATCACAAAAGGTGAGGAACTACAAGGTTATACATAGTTTAGAATTATACGGTGTGTCTATGTGGATGTAGATAAATGGTAAAAAGAAAACCTAAATGTACACAATTACCACTTAATATGATGAAAAAGAAAAAAAAAAGTAAGCTAATTAAGATCTAACATTGATAGCCCGCTTGGCTCAGTGGTAGGGTGTTGATCTAAGAACCAGGAGGTCAGGGTTCGATTCCCCATCAGGGCACAGGCCCAGGTTGCGGGCTCCATCCCCAGTGTGGGGCGTGCAGGAGGCAGCCCATCAATGATTCTCTCTCATCATTGATGTTTCTACCTCTCCCTCATTCTTCCCCTCTGAAATAAATAAAAAATATATATTTTCTTAAAAAGATCCAATATTGATAGAAAAACTGCTCTGTTCACTGCAATCTATCTCTTGTTATATGTAAAAAGAATCTCATTTTTAAAATCCTTAAGTACATGTTTAATAGAAATATTCCCTAAGAAGCTCCTTTTTTTCAAATCAAATCTTTTGCTGCGCCTTCCCCAAAGCCAACTCTTATCTCTATGTAATTCTCCAGCAAACATTAATTACAATACCTTAAATAAGTGTGGGAGGCAGCCTCTCAGATCCTCCCAATCATTTCCTCCTCCTGGTTTTACGCCCTGTACAGTCCCCTCCTATGATGTACCAGGGCAGAAGGGATGGACTATCTCTTCTAAGACTGGGTAATAAAAGACTGTGGCTGCCAACTTAGACTGTGTCATCACTTGTCCTGGAGGGAGCCAACGGCCACGTCTTGAGAACCCTTAGGTGGCCCTGGGAGTGGCCTGCATGGCAAGAAACTGAGACTTCCAGCCTACAGCTGAGTGAATGAGCCTTTTGGGGAATGGATCTTGCAGCCCCAGTCAAGGTGTCAAACGATGCAGCCACAGCTGAAAGCTTGATTACGACTTTATGAGACCGGAGTCAGAAACATCTCACTAAGCTGCCCCAGGACTCCGGAAGCTGTGGGACAATACATGCTTGTTTTAAGCCATTATATTTAGGGGTATTCGTAATACAGCAATGAACTAATACAATGAGCAATGCCACTGCTCATCCTTCAAAAACCAAATTGCTGTACATTCGGCCCATAGTATCTGCAGGCTCTGCATCTGGGGATTCAACCAAAGATAAAAAATACTTGGGGGGGGGGGGTGAGTTACGAGTTGCTGTCATGTACAAAGTAGTTAGGCCTAGGTTGGTTGCGTCTGTACTGAACATGTACAGACTTTTTTTTTCTTATTATTCCCTAAACAATACAGTATAACAACTATTAACATAGCATTTACATTGCACGAGAAGTAATCTAGAGAGGATTTAAAGTACACAGGGATGATTGCATAGGTCATATGCAAATAGTACGCCATTTTATAGAGGGGACTTGAGCATCCACAGATTTTGGTACCCACGAGGGTCCTGGAACCAGTTTTTAAAAATAATTATAAATAGAAAGTGTAATTGCAAAAAGTGGAAGACAAATTTGTTTGAAAATCTCGGCTAAAATGAAAGGCAACTGTAATAATGTCAGCTTGCCAGCCCTAGTTGTAAAAACAATGAACTAACAATGTACTATCTGAGGCTAGGAACTGTTTCTGGAAAAAGACCAGGTTGGGCAGGTGAAGTGAGAACACGGTATCAACTTTTTTAAAATTGGGGAGGAAATCAGTTTAAAAATCACAGTATCCTAAGTAGCTATGATAAGACATCCCACAAAGTAGGGGTTATCTATTATAAATTGATTCTAAGAATCTAACGCTTTATCTTGTCACAGACTATATCACTTGCCCACTGATAAACTCATAAGAAAGATAAGGGCAAAAGTACCAAATTTCAGCAGTAGATTCCACTGACATATCAAAGCATGGATGATTTTTTTCTTGTAATGTTTCCACACCAAATCCAAAACATGTCATAACATCATACAAGAAACCTTCCCAGGAACACATAAGATTCCCTACAATTAAAAAAAGCCCTTTTACCAAAAATTTATTTCATTAGAAAATCCACTAAGTACACACACACACATTTAATACGTGAATCAGTTATTGAAAAAGCAACAAGAAAAACAGCAATTTTTTGTTTGTCTGGGGAAAAAATGTTGATTTCAGCAATGTAATGAGCTGCATTCATTTGCAACATAATAATGAATAAGGTAATTTATTAGTGATGATTCAATTCCAGTTATCTCCATAGTAACTATGTGTATTCATATTGAAAACAATAAAGAACATTAACACTGTCCTAAAAATGAAACCAGTAGCATCACTTAAGTGTCATTTGAGTCAAAGAGCAATAATTTAGTCATCAACATTGGCAAAAATTGTTTATTTAAACTTTATAGTTCTTTAGCTTATAAATAGGAGATAAGCATTCTTTCTCATATAATGTACATACTTATTAAGCATAATTGATCTAACTGATCTCCATTGACTGAAGTTTATAGGTCCTTTCCAGTATTTGTAAAACTATGTTAAATTTCAAAATATCATCTTCATTGTAAAATGCAGCATATCTATTGCAATGTGCAATAGGTATGAAGTAAAATTTACCCAGGACATGCTTTTTCAAGAATTGCCATAAAATTATATTAATAGGGCCCTTCAATCTTGTAACAGTGGTAATATAGAATTTCCAACAAATTACTTAGAAAGGTCAAATGTGTGTTCAAATAGTCTTGCCCGTGGAGAACATCAGCATGTGAGTGTCTATTGTATTTCAAGGAGCTCATTTTCAGAACTGAATATTTTAAAACCACATACTGAGTACACACATAGCTTACAAAATATGCTAGCATTTGATTATGATTTAAAATAATGTGATTACACATTTAAAAAAATGAATTGACTGCAATGTGACATTTTTCCTGTAAAAGCACTGTGGGTGGACATTGTCTTGAATCATCCAATAGTATAAATTGGTCCACAATTCCCTGAATGTAGTGGGGAGGGAGGGGCGTGGTTAAAAGACACAATTAAGCCTGGCCGGCATGGCTCAGTGGTTGAGTGTCGACCTATGAACCAAAAGGTCACGGTTAGATTCCCGGTCAGGGCATATGCCGGGTTGCAGGCTCGATCCCTAGCGTGGGTATGCTGGAGGCAGCTATCAATGATTCTCTCTCATCACTGATGTTTCTCTCTCTCTCTCTCTCTCTGTCGCTCTCTCCCTTCCTCTCTGAAATCAATAAAAATATATATTTTAAAAAAGACACAACCAATAAAAAGTTTTTGAAGAAGTAGTATAGATAAGTCGATAAGTCATATAAAGGTAGATAAATCTTTCCTCCATTCCTGTGCATAGGCCGAAGAAACACCTTCAAAGGGCCTGTGGCAAATCAAATCCCTTCTTCCCAATCAATATCCTGTAAACTTAAGGAATCTACAGAATGGTTATGTCCCTCCCACCTTTAGGAGGGGGGGGGGGGGGGGGGGGGTGTTAAACTTTTGATGTTCAAACACATCAGAATGTGATATAAAATAGTAGCAATGTAATTTGTCTATATTACCATATTTAAATGGCAAATATTTTAAGACAGAATGATTTTATCTTTTGCTCCTTTCATCCCTTTGATTTTATGAATTGTTAGCTTTTGCAGCTGGACTCAAATTCTGACCTACCAGCATGCTGCACTGATTGTAAAAATACCCTATTTTAACATGTTGGCTTAAAAATAGCTTTGCTTTCACCATTGCAGATTACTTTTGAGCAGAAGTCTGCTTTTTCTTGTAGAGCCACAGATTCTCAGAAAAAATACCTTCTTGTTTACTTCATTCTTTCAACCTCTGGGGAAACAACAAAAACTGGAGTTTAACTGGCGAAGCACCGAACTTAATATGGACTAGCAAGTATGTATTTGCAGTTGCTGGTTTGATCCATTCTTTCCATTTCCCGGGGAGATGTTCCCTTCCGCTGCTCAAATGAATACAACTAGACGTGTGTGCAAACTAGCAGCCGAGAGCATCTCTGCCTTATGAAGCAACATCCCTTCTTACGGGCCCCCAGACACCTTCGTTCCATAACCATTCAAAAAAGTTTCTTCCTCTCGGGTTCGTAGCACTTTCGGGGGAAGCAGGCATGCCACCTGCGCGGCTGCAAGTTCACAAGAAAGCATCGAGGGACAAGAGGGCTGGGGAGGGGAGGCACACGGCAAATCAAAACAAAATCAAAACAGGATCGGTTGGCTGTTGGGGCTGAAGCTCGGGCTTCTGAGGCTGGGGAGGAACCAGCCAGCCAAGCGTTGGCCCTGGCTGCCTGGCTAGATGGGCTCCGGTCCCACCTGCCCCGGGGACACTCAAGAGGCGGAAAGTTCCCCCCACCTCGGACGTCCCAGGCGCCGGGCCAGGCCGGCGAGGGGGGCCGGCGGGTGGGGCGGCGGCGGCGATGGCTGGGGTCCCAGGCCGAGGGTCGGCAGGGCTTCCCCGGGGCAGGCGGGGCAGGGGAGGGCGCCGGGCCCCCGGGGTCACCCCCCTCTCCATCCCCTTTACCTTGGGCGATGGCAATGGACTCGAAGCGGTGCAGCTCCTTGAGCAGGCAGCTCCTCTCGGTGGAGTGCAGGCTGTAGATGAAGTCGCGCGCGCCCTGCGCCGTGTTCAGCGCCTCCATGGGCTCCTTGGGGTGCGTGCCCAGGCCCCGGGGGCCGCCGGGGGAGCGTCCGGGGAACGCGATCGCCAGCAGCCCCCGCCCGCAGCCGCACCAGGACGGCAGGCGGGGCGCGGCGGCGGCGGCCGGGCCCGGCCTCAGGCTGCTCGCGGTCCGGCTCCGCAGCAGCGGCAGCAGTCGGGACATGGCGGGGTTGGGGGGCGGGGGACCCCCGGGGCAGTCCGGGAGGGCGATCTCGGGCGAAGGTTGAGGTTAGAAGGAGCTGGGTTCCGCCGACCCCGCCCCCGATGTCCTTCCAGATGGGCAGCGGCGGCGCCGGGCACCATGCACTCCCCGGGCCCGCACGGTTCCTCGCGTCTTCTTCCGTCCCGATCCCTT